AGGTCCCTCTGGATGGCATCTCTTCAATTCTACATCCCTTCAGTGTAATTCTACTTTCTGTGTTCGTTGATCATAAAGCATCACATTGCCCTCAACAAACAAGTACTCTTGCTCCAAGGACATTGTGGCAATAGCCGTCTATTATGCATATGCAGGTCGTCTTACTAAAGCAATGGTAAATTCAAAAATATTTCTATTTACCCAGAAAAATCTTCCTGGTGCATAGTGAAGATAATAGCTTCTACTGAATCTCCTACAGAGTTCAGCAACGGTTGAATAGCACTACCCATCAGATCATGGACTGCCTAAAATAGAATAAGAAAAAGGCAGAAGTAAGGAAACTGAAATGAGAAGCATTTGCATTTTGACACCTCAAAAATACCTTGACAAACAGTTAATTTCAATAGTGCTTTTTATTATTCTGCATTAGAAACTGCAAAACAGAAGGACAAAAGCCTAAGATAACATTTCTCTTTAACTGATGTTACCAGTGAAGTGCAGAAATAAGCCTGTTTACTACTTCTATGTAAAGCCTTCCTCCAAAAAGGTGCAGAACAATCTGGATTGTAGACACACACGTTTTGGTCACACGCTTCGTCAAGCTGTTCATTCCTCAGACACACAAGCTGCCCTTCGTTCCTCTGCACACAACCCGCCCCAGATGAGCGCACAGCAGGACAGATGTGGATAGCTGTCATCCACAGAGGGCTGGCACGGCCATCCGCCTTGCCCCCAAAAAGCACCAGGTAGCATAAAAATCTTAATTTTATGTGTGTGTCAGAGGGTGGAGGGGTAAGGAGGTGATGAAGGAACCAGTTATTGTAGTGTGAATGCTGCAGAGAAAGACATTTATTTTCACAGTCAGGTGACATCTGGGCTCAGGCCATTACGGGAATATTCTTGAAGACAAATGCTACTCGAGCAGTGATGTGGTACAAGCAACATATATGTAGCTGCAGGTACAACAAAACAAAAAATGCAGAATATTTGTATACCTTTGACTAACATATACTGACACAAAATAATACCTGGGAAAATAAGTGCCCATTTAAAGTGTAACAAACGAAGCAAAGCTCAGCCCTATCCCTGCAGCATATGGACATTCAATTACCTTCAAGGCAGTTGTGATTGTTTGTTCAGCGGCTGCTGGAAATGAGCTCTGATTGGCAATGACCTAAAAACATTAAATTAATTGGTAACAGTCAACACTGTACAAATTATTAGAATCCATAACATTTAATTTCATTGTAAAACACACTGAGTTTTCCTTAGTAATGAGTGGTTTACATCGGTGTAGATAATTATCAAATGTGTTTTACACAGACAGGATTTTCAATGCACCAGTATCAGTCCTTTGCTCTCAAATTTCCTATGGACTCTGCTTCTGCATTGGCAAAGATATAATTCAGTTGAGTTTAACTGGAATTTAGCTGAAGGGTTAACAGAATCAGAATAAAAATAAGTGGTGTATTCTCCCACTCCTAAGTCTAGAATTTAAGGAGAACTATGCAAGCAGCTCTATGGCAAATATTTGAAAGAACAGTTGTTCTTTCTCGGTACTACGACTATTATAATACTACATGTTGAATAGCTGTTTATGTACAGCTACAACTATATTAGAAATCAAAGTCAAGGAATGACCTGAAGGGATGTTCTACCAATTTTCTTACAGTTATGAACATGCTATACAACAGTGTTTTTCAGCCAGATACTGAACTCAAAGACTGAATCATATCAGATCTCCCTCCAACACTAAGGCACATGAGGTTCATTACTAAATACATCAGAGAAAGCAGACTTAAAAGTTGATCTACCATCTGTTTGCAAAATTCAAGCAAATTTTATAGGCTTTTTAGCATTTTTTAACATTCTTTAAACATATTACAGTCAGGAGTACTCATGATCCTTTTTCTAATCAGGCTAGGAGTTAAACACAAATAACTACAACTACCACTATATCTGTTTGTTTTAATTTACAGAGACTGTGTAACCATTGGCATCACTAAGCCAGTAAATTGGAATTATTCGTAACCGTGCTTAGTCCTGAAAACATTTCCATGCCAAACTTTGGTCACAGCAACAATGCACAGAGATATTTGTGAAATGCTGCTTTTCTTGATTTGACCCGTTCATTCCCCTTTTCCATTTGGCCACCACCATGGGAAAGCAGTGAGGGTCTTCTGAGGAAGACAAGCTTGGGCTGGGACAGATGCAGACAAGGCCTATCAGGCTGACCAATACAAAGACAGAGCTTACTTGATAAGAAAAACCAGAAACAGTTCAATTGCTTAGGCTCACAAAACAACGTCGGTGAGACGTGATTATTCTCTACCAACACATCGTTCACTCCTCTTCTAATACTGACAATCCGTGCTTACAAGGGCCAGCCAAGTCTCAAAGAGGTGTACAAATGCACAGCAAGGTGCATCATTTAACCCAAAATTGGGCTGCATGTCAGAGTTCTCATCAGCTAATGGGAGAATACACATACGATAGAGTAACGAAGTTAACATTTATGGCAAGAAGAGGAATACCAAAGGCAGCTTACCTTCAGAACCGACTGGTGCAGTTTGTATAGCGAATTAACTACAGCCACATTCCTCCTCTGCCCCTCTGTGAGCGGTCCAATCACCTGGCTGGCATCTCCTTGAGTAGACAGCTGCAGTGATTGCGGAAATCGTTAAAACACTACCAACACCACGAAATTATACTTAACTAAACTTAGACCACAGCTGAAAGCCAAAGGTCTTCAGTACCAATGTTCTTCCATTTAACTTTCGTCTTGATTCATACAATTTCTATCTCCAGATAATACAAACTGAACAACAGGAACAGGAACTGTGAGACTGCTGTCTCAGCTCCCAAACCACAGCACTCAGACCCAGATCTCTTGGAGATCCCTAGTCCCAGCACAACTTCAACTTTGTAACCTAAGTCAGGTGAAGTCACCAACCCAAGGATGTGGAGTAAACTCGGAGCAGCAGAACTGAAAAGGGTAAGCTTCTCTGTATACCCTCAGTCCTTACTTCTGACAACCAGTCAAGCCTCTCCTTAAGAACTCTGTTACTTCAAATAGATGGCTTACAGCTTTGTACATATTAATGGCTTGTAAATGAACAGGAAAACAGAACTGCAGAGAACAAAACTGCTAGTCCTGTCACTGAAAAGAGTTCTATCCGTTCAGCAAAAATAAAAAAAATATTTCTTCATATTTAAACTCCATTTTTTATCATTACCGCAGAAATCAAAGTTCCAGGGTGATACATAAATAGCAATTAACTACAGAACAGTCCCGTAAGGATACCACAGCATATGTTTATAATTTAAAATAAAATAAATTGTAATTGGGAAACAAACAAATTTTCTTATGCATTGAAAGCTGCAGAAATACAAAGAATTGACAAAAGGCTATGTGAATTATAGAAGTACATCTAGAAATTACAGCAAGTATAGCTATTAATAGATGGCTTTACTGAGATATAATTATCTGACTAGTTATCTGTATTTCAGGATACAAAATTATCCTCCAGGAAACTCCTGAAGCTGTCTAGCTCCTAAAGTCTCTCAGTAAAAATACATTCAACTCATTGAACAAGTCATCAAGAGATTTTTATGAAGTGTGGCTTTAAACACAGTTGTATGTGCTACAGAAAGCTCCTCAACTAAAACGGAATATAGAGTAACAATTGTTTAAGAACAAAAGGAATAAACATGACATGAAAAATTTTATGTTATGGGAAACAGTGACTAGTGACAGATTATTCGTATACTTCCCATAGCTTCCGCCCAGCATAACACAGGCAGCATGCAAGCAAAGTTACCTAGTATTTGCCAGCGTTGCTAATAATGAAGTTCTAGACAAGTTCTTGCAAGCACACAGGAACTCACAACTTAATCACAGCACTACAGTGACAGTATCAGTTCATTTCCCTTCCTTCAAACTTAGGGATTATTTCAGAATAAGTGGTTTCTGAGGCCTTTGCAGAAGGAGAAATCTTTTCCAACATACCTTCAATTATTTGACATCAGAATGCATCTTTAGACTAGCTGACAAATACAGCATCTCAGCATCTTCCTGCCTTCCTCATAAGAACAGCCATGTGAGCGACATACATCTCTTGTTTCCTTCTCAATATTTCTATCTGACAGACCTGATTTAAGAATTCTGCTTCTCGTGTTTACAGCTTCACAGATTAATAACAAAACAGCCAGAGAAACACCCTGTCCACCTGGCTAACCACCCTCCCAGACCCCAATAACTGTTTTTTCCCACCTTTCTCAAGAATTGTACACACTGTTCAATTGCTTTTTTGCACTTTTACAACTATAAAACATAAAAGACACTACTAAAAAAAAATTTTACATCCCAGTCACTTAAATTTGAGTTCCTTAAAGTCTGTTGTAAAGGTTTCACAATTTCTTTTTCTTAGACATTATGAAATCATTAGACTGTGTCTTTTCTGCTGGTGAAAAAGCTTAACTGACAAGTAAACTAGGAACAAGTACAAACATAACCCTTCTGCAGCAACAAGCATCTCTTGAAGTCAGCAGTAGTGCAGAGCAACTTCAAAGGCAAAGTCTAAAAATGCCTTAAAAGCAAACAATCTTTCTGAATTTGTTTACCAAATTAAACTCCCTTAAATTAATCAGTTTGAACTTTGGCAGCTTGATGTGTGGATCCCTTGTGTATCTTAAAATAATATCAGTGGTCTAAAACAGAGAGGCTCAGAAAACTAGTAGGAACTAGGCAGCCCATGGGACCAACCAGCACCCACATGGGTAGGTGTGCCCTACCACCTACAGCAGAAGCCTCAGATGGTTGTTCCCATCTCTTGCTGTCACAGACCCTGCCTTGAGCTAAGAAGGTTCTGCACTGACTCTGTCCAACACAGTTCATGTACATACACTCTGTCACTGGTACATATCTAGATTTCAGGTAGCTTATCATTATTCCAATATTCCAGTGCCTCAGACCAAATTCTTGACTCCTCTAATATCCATTGTACAAACTTGCATCCAGGTATGAAAATGTCACCACTGTGTCTCCCAGTTCCAACAAACCCCGCTTACCGCCCTTTTACTTTAGACACAAATCATCCCTCACTTTATTTTTCCATCATACCAGGTTTTATCAGTGATTCACAATAGTCACTCTCATTTACACAGCAAGTGGTTTTGAAGTTCTGTGCTGGACACAACTTCTGCATTTAAGCACAGTGGTAAGGTAACTCTTCCTCTGACCACCGGGGATTGCACTGTGTAAATAGGTTAAGTCAAATAAGTGTGAAGCCTAGCCATATCCACTCAGGTGAAAGACACAGTGAGAGCAGTGGAGACAAAATATGAGGCCTTTTTAATCAAATTTATCCAGAAATGCAGGACAGGATGGGTGAATTTATGCTAAGCAGAAATAGGGAGGACAGAAGGGGTGATTTCATCCCAAAACAGAATCTATTTTGGGAAAGAAACAACCAAAAGACAAAGCGTAGTTTTGAAGGACCAGATCCTATCTCCAGGGAATCATCAGTCTCCTGGGGAGTTAGTCTGGCTTGAGCCTGCCAGCTGAAAAGCAAACAGAGGAAAAGAAACCATGCTGACATCAGACCTGACTGACCACTGACATCAACTCTAACGGTTCCGCTCTTCTGTATCTGTCTGTAAATACAGCAATTGATTTCTTACACTCTTCACTTTAGTTGGTAAACTGTTTCTGCATTTACCTCAAAGCCTATTTACAGCAATTCAATGGGCAGTAGCAAAGCACAGGCACCCCATTCGCCAGCAAGTGGCAATTCTACAATGGGCAACATGTCAGTACAAGCTCTCTTTGCCAACATGAGCTACCAGCACACTGGCAATATGAGATGCTAGTGAGGAAGAGAGGAGTGAGGCAGAGACATCCCCCACCAGCAAAAACTAGCCAGAACTTTTGTACCATTCACCCAGGCACTAGGACAAGGCTGTGTCTTGTTGTACCCTCAAGAATGTGAACCATTCCACACAGCATTTCAAGAAAACTCAAAGGGCAGGTTTTAAACTAAAATTAGAAAGAAATATTGGAGGTACTTTCTTTCTGATGTGTATATGAGGACATTCTCTAAGGTAGAAGGTTGAAATTTGCAGGTTTGATCCAGTAGCTGACTAGCTGGAGGAAACTGCCTAGAAGATCTTTTTTTTTGAATCTAATTCAACAGAATGTGAGGACTAAGTAGTAGATGAGGTACTTTATTGAACCAAAATGGACACTTGCAGAAGCTGATAAACAAAAAATGTGTCACAACGAGAAACGGGGTGACTGAAGGCCATGTGACGTCCTTCAGCCTGGCATGCTTGAGAAACTACAAAGCATGACTGGCTCTGCGCTCTCACCAAATTCAGAAGTCCTTCTGGAGAATAGTTTCTTTTCGTTTGGATCCTTCAGTACACTAACATGGTCTATTTTAGAGACCCTCCTTTAGGGAGAGAGGAAATGCAACCTGTATGCACCTATTTCCCCTCCACTAACTATAAAGGGAATCTCCAGCAGTACCGCACGCACACAGAAGCAGCTCTACTGCCTGAAGTCATGTCAGATGAATTCTCACCCTATTAATGTATTTGCACCTCTCTGCATAGACCCGCTTTGGAAACGTGTCTTGGAAATAACTAGATCGAGTGTTCTGGATTTTACACTTTTCTATGTTTAATACCTAAAACCAGACGTGTAATTTGACCGCATGGATTTGATCTCACATGTTGAGACGTGTGATATGATAAGATTGCTTTGGGTTTAAATTCTTGTTTTCACCATGAAGGAATGGATATAGAATTTAGATGAGGATGTGAATCAAATCATCAGCTCTCCCTCGGGTTATAAAAATGCTAACAGAGTTTGCCTTTTTCTTGTAGAAAAGCTCAGGCTATTGATACATCTTTTCCTATCATTTGTGTTTCCAAGTGACCATCTCCCCTCTTTGAACAGGTGGCAGCTCAGAAGAGGCACTGAGTTGTGAGGCGGTTTGCTACCCTTCCCTTCAGACTAAACATTTTGTGAGAAAGCTGTTTCACACAAAGTAACTAAGCTCTTGTGTGCATCCTTACTGACAGTTTTGGAAAACTCCATTTATGTGATTTCTCTACTCTAACAGCCTCAGAAAACCCACTCTCTAAAGAGCAGGAAACAGCATCATAATTTAGAAGGAGTACAGAGAAGATCTTAAATCAAAATAAGACGAAAGTAGTGCCTCTCAACAAAGCATTTGATCTAACTCCAGGATCACACGACTAATGTGTTGTGATAGCACAAATTGAACTCCAATTGTTAAGCTGACATTTTCAAGAATAAATACATTCCTAATAGAGGCAGCTGATGTGGCCATACCTCTGGCAGAAAGCAATCAATCCATCTGGTACTTGGCCTCCTGCCTGATCACAACAACTTATTATAAAGCACAGAATCCATTTACAGAGTTTCTGAGTCAATAGGGCTTGGCCCTGGGATTTCTCTCATAAACTACAAATAATTGGAATTATTTACTAGTAGGTTTAATGTTTTCCATACAGCAGAAGGAGCCTTTTACAATCTCTTTCCATCTAAGAAGCACAAAAGTGTACTAGAACCAGTTTGCTACAATTTGTAAAAATATGACACCATTTAGCAGAAAAACACAAAACAATCTG